CATGTTTTGTGTCAGGTGTACCTTTTGCTGAAGGAGAAGTCAGATGTTTACCTTTAGTTAAAAATAAGCAATTAAAATGAATAACATTTCAAATGAAGTCTTATTTTTTTGTTGTGGTGAGACCTCTTTTTTTGTAAAGCGATGCTCCAGAAAAGCGGACGTTAACAGCGTCTTTGTTCCGTTCACTTTCACCAGAGATGCCGATCGTCCTGGCACAACTGCAGAAGTAAAAAATAAACGGAAGTTAAACGAGCTCGAGGAAGAGCTGAGAGAAGCAGAAATCCAGAAAGAGATTTTAGTCGGAAGAAGGAATTTACGTTTGTAATAAGGAGCCTAGTCTCCTTCCCTTCCGGCCGGCTCATGGGTCCCCTGACTGATTCAGACAGAGTAATGAGCAGTATTTGAGAGTAATGGCTCTTTTGTGTGTTTCAGCTCGTGAAAGCAAAAGCAAAAGCAAAAGCGTTGCATTCATAGTTTTGTTCAATGTAAATGATAATTGTTTGTTTCAACTGTCTTTCACATCATCTGAGATTTATTCGCTTGTAAAAACGTGGAATTTAAAAAGTCAGCAAATCCGAAGCAGCATAAATAACATCACGACAGAATCTGACATCTGACTTCCGGTTGAGTGAACGCTGGCGCGTCTGGCTGCCGCTGCTCGCCGGCAAACTTTCTTGTGTTTTTACTTCTTTTCACCCGAGTCATTTGTGCAGCCCGCTCATTTTGATTTTGTTACAATTTTCCTCACACTTACGGTCCTCAACCTGACTGCCATATCCCTGTGTCGGCGAAAACTGATTTTCACCTACCTTCTGGTTCCACGTCACCACCTCGCCGCTCCGCTCCATAATGTGGTCCAGCAGGATTTCTCTGTGCCTCTCACTGGCCTGGATCATCCTGTCGCTCATCCTTCTATCCGTGGATCCGGGGATGCATCTCAGCTGCACTCCCATCTCACCCGCAATAACCTTTATGAACAGTTTCAGTCTGGCTTCCGTCCCCACCACAGCACAGAAACAGCTCTTATCAAGATCACTAACGACCTACTCATTGCTGTTGATTCTGGTTTAATCTCCACTCTCATTCTCCTCGATCTGAGTGCGGCCTTTGACACCATTTCTCATCCCATCCTCCTTAATAGACTCTCTTCCTTAGGCATCACTCACACCCCCCTCCGCTGGTTTCAATCTTACCTTACTGGCCGCACTCAGTTCATCCAGTTAAAATCATTTTCCTCAAAACCCTTCCCAGTCAAGTCAGTCGTACCCCAGGGCTCTGTCCTGGGGCCCCTCCTCTTTATAGTCTATCTCCTCCCCATCTGCAACATCTTCCGCAAATTCAATATCCAGTTTCACTGCTTTGCGGATGACACCCAGCTCTACATTTCCAGTAAACCCAACTCAACTCTCCCACCATCCTCCCTTACACTCTGCCTCTCTGAAATCAAATCATGGTTCACCTCTAATTTCCTCAAACTCAACGGCAATAAAACTGAACTTCTTCTTGTTGGTACCAAATCCACCATCTCCAAATCTGACAGCTTTTCCTTAACTATTGACAGCGCCACAGTCTCCCCCTCCCCTCAGGTCAAGAGTCTGGGTGTCATCCTCGACAGCTCACTTTCTTTTCAAGCTCACATTAATAACATAATTCGGTCAGCATACTTCCATCTACGTTCCATAAACCGTCTCCGCCCCTCCCTTACCCCTCACACGGCCGCCATTCTGGTCCACAGCCTCGTCACCTCCTGTCTTGGTTATCACAATTCACTTCTTTATGGTCTCCCCAACAAACTCCATAAATTGCAACTGGTCCAGAATTCAGCAGCCCGTATTATCACCAGAACCCCTTCCTTTCACCACATCACCCCGGTTCTCCAGCAGCTTCACTGGCTCCCAGTTAAATTCAGGTCCATATTCAAGATTGTCCTCCATACCTTCAAAGCAATCCATAACCTCTCTCCTCCATATATCTCAGACCTTATAAGTACTATAACCCCCTCCCATTCTCTCAGATCTTCTTCTTCCATCCATCTTGCTGTTCCTTCTGCCCGTCTCGCTACCATGGGGAGCAGAGCTTTCAGCCGCTCTGCTCCCCGTCTCTGGAACTCGCTCCCCCCAGACATCAGGAACATCGACAGTTTCGCCCTTTTCAAAACCAGACTCAAAACACACATGTTTAAATCTGCCTACGACCTCTGATTGTATTGAACTGTTTCTCTCTTTGTTTTTTCTTCTTTGCGTTTTATTGTGGTTTTATTGCTGTTTTAATGTATTTTCTGAGCGTATTTTCTGTCAAGTGACCTTGGGTGTTCTGAAAGGTGCTTTTAAATAAAATGTATTATTATTATTATTATTATTATTATTATTATCTCTTCCCCCAGCATAGCTGCTACTTTTCACATGAGCAGATTTATTTTGGTTCAATGCTGCTTCTCTTACCCTGGAAGAAGGATGTGAACCTGGATGAACTCTAGGCCGTTTTTCTTCTTGTTTGGCTTGATGACGTCAGTTTGGTGAGACAAGACGTTGGAGTCCTTTCCGTGTTTTCAAACCAAAACCTAAAATAACTTTTGCCATCTTTTCAAAATAAGATGCTTTCTTGGCATCAAAATGTGTCGTTAAAATTCACGGACATAATTTGATAAATCAATGGCACATATCGAACAGCGTCAGAAATGAACTTTTATCTGCGTAAAGACTCCCATTCACTGTTTTGACAGTAGGGGACCCATGGTCTGGAAGTAGATGGGCGTGACTCCCAAAAGCGGCTCGCCTACCCTTATTTCCTGGAATCTGATTGTGTGTCGCATGTTTTCTTCCTGAGGTTTGAGGTTTAGAAGTTACTCTGTTGGGTTGCTTCCAGGGAAGGTGGTTTCCGCCAGGCCTGCAGAACCACAACAAATCGTTAGGACACAATGCAGTTGGGTGAGCTCCTGAATGTGGTCTTCTAGTTCGCTCCCCAAAAAATCCAACGTAGAAAAGAAAATTCCCTTCATACTGGAACCATGTTTCTGTAATAAATGCATTTTAACCCTCCCACATTGTTATTGGGGTCAGATGGACCTCTGGTGTATATTTATAGTTTATTTTATTTTTTTTAAGGGGTGCATCACTTCACCCCTGCCAAGGCAAATGCTTCAAACCCTGCTTAACCACCCCCTGTCCTGGCGGGGTCACCTGATAGGAAAGTGGAAGGGTTAAAGGTGTGGAACACTGAAATTTGAACAGATTATTTCTGATGCTAACGGGTCACTCTGAGTGTTTCATGCAGGCTGAACATGAAAATAGTCTCCTACACCTATCCCCTGCATTAGCTTCTGATAGAAAACCGACGGTGAAACTCTAGGATTAGAAAATCCTGACAGATCTATGTCACCCTGTCACTAACGTTCATGGACTCACCCATCTGGACTCACGACGGGGAAGGCTGTTGTTGGTTTAGCGTCCAGGAAACAGCAGAGAACGTTTCTGCTTGTCGAAGCTAACATTAGCATTAGCAACTCCACCACACAGCAGAACTCCTCCAGGCTTGTGTTATTTGTGGAGATAAAACGTCAGCGTTGCAGAGAACACAAAGTCAACACATAGAGTTGTGTTGCTGTTAGCCAATCAGAGGAGAGATGTCCACATATCAGGAAGTTAGACCCCTGCTGTGTTAAGCTCTCCTCCGCTAGTTCCTGAAACAAGCACATCTGGGCATTTTTTACCCAGAGCCACTTGAAAGGCATTCAGTACCACAAACCACTGCAAATGTATTGATTCAACGAGTGTCCCACACCTTTGAGATTTATTTTTAAAATCAGAAAAACAGGTAAAAATTCATTATTTCTTTTATTTATAAGTGAATGTTTTCTTTAAAATAACTGTTCCTTTAGCGCTGCAGGCCCCGATCATGGCCGACTCTATGGTTACTTGTGTTGCAAACATCTGGAGGAAAACAAAGCATTTAAAAAAAATCTATCGAACATTTCAAATTCTACAACGAAGGACGCCAACGGAAACTTGTTCTCATGCAGCTCACGAGACCATCGGTGGTGAAGTATGACTGACCCACCTGCACAGCCAGATCACCAGCGTGAGGGAGAGGGCGGTGAGGAGAAGACAGACGTACATCATGTGTCTCAGCCTCCTGATGTCAGGTAGGTGCAGCTCTTTATTCTGAGTCATCACGAAGGTGTTGTGTTCCAGGTGTTGGTGAAGAAACCTAAACTAGCGGTGTCCTGCAGACCCTCTGCTGTGGATGGTGAGGATCTAAGGGATCTTTTGTGAAGCCTACAGAGATACATCCAGCTGATTATTACTGTTCATAATCAGATTTATTCACTGTCATGAACACAAACTTTTCATCTTTTCCTGGATCGGTTAAAGTCACGGTATCCGATCACCCCACCAAGCAAACGAGTCTCAGGTGAGTTTCAAACAAACGGAGAGTAAATATAACAAAATAAATGATAAACGTCGCATGAATCCAGGAAGGAATATCTCAAAATGAAAAGGGAATTTCTGCTGTAAAAACTTTTTTGACTTATTGTTTAATTATTCATTTATTAATGGATTGATTGGCTTTTTCATTTGTTCAGCTGTGTGATGTGTTTTATTTATTCTTTAGTGTTGATATGTTTAGTGAAAATGACCGTGATTGTGTTATTAAAAATATGAATGCATTATTGTAAATAATTTAAGTTAAACACACACTGAAATTACCAAGACGCTTGGAGATTTATTATTTAGTTTATTTTTAATTGTTTCTATAAGTAAAACAGCTGCAAAGCTTTCAAACAACTTATTTTTTATTCTAGTAGCCAGCCTGATTTCATTTTATTTAGTTGCCTTTGGTGAATATACACACATTAAAGGATTACATTTCTCTATATTCTGATTTTATTATTTTAAATTTTCACATTTTGTCATGTATTTTTTTCCAGTTTAGCCCATTTTCCTATGTTAGCTACGTCCCGTAAGGTTTTTCTTTCTTTTTGGATCCTCATCTAGATGCTA